AATTAATCATTTGCATATACATTTATCTCATTTTATTCTCCTTCTAATTATTTCAAGTGAAGTGTTATTTCCCCTACCTTGCCAATGAGGAAACTGAGGCAGCCTTAAAAATGCTAAAGGATTGGCTGGGCGCTGTGGCACACACCTGTAATCCCAGTGGCTCTGGAGTCTGAGGCAGGAGGGTCATGAGTTCAAAGCTAGCCTTAGCAAAAGTGAGGTACTAAGCAACTCAGTGAGACTCTGTTTCTAAATAAACTACAAAAAAGGCTCAGTGGCTGAGTGCCCCTGAGTTCAATTCCTGGTACCAAAAAAAAAAAAAAAGTGCTAAAGGATTATTAAGGTCACAAAACTAACAAGGGACTGGGTTAGAAGTGGATCATGGTCCACCAGACATCAAAGCTCACAATGGCTCAAATTGTCATTAATTTAGACAACTGTCTTCTCCCTGAAGTGTATACCAAAAGAAATTTAACAACATTCCAAGACAGTGTCATCAGGGAGAGACTGGTCAAGTTACCATTGAAAGAGTCCTTCCAGTTGTTTCCCAAAACCAAGAGGTGAAAGGTGAGTTTTGTAATTGGTTCATTTTTAATAGATGGTTTGTTTTAAGTTGCCTAGCCTGATGATGCAATGATCAGGGGAATGAGCTTGATTTGAAGATAGATTTCTGATCTTCTGGGAAGTGTTTCCACTTTAATAAGCTTCGATTCTCCAAGGAAATTCCTAAAGATGGTCAGTCACAATCCACTGGGGCTACCAGGAATCTGTAAATACTCTCATGGGTGTGTACACACACATACAGGAATAGATAACTTCTGTAGTCACTGAATGCTTTGAGAGCAGGGAGGGGATTGCAGGGAGAAAAACCTCCAACTTGGGGTCAATGGTTGGAGATCCACAAATTAATTGACAATAGGCAGAGGAAGAAGAAAAAGACAAGGTTTATTTATGCACACAGGCAGAATGCTCAGTAATGTATAACTCACTCACTGGCCAGAGATTAAAAAGTTTATATACCAAACTTAATGGGAGGCAGGGGCATAGGAAGGTAAGGAAGATTCCTTTAGGCTTTTTGATGCTAATACAAATGGGGAGTCTTTATCCATGGTAGCTGATTTTGCAGAATTTCCTTGGAGGAAGGTTATTGACAGCTGCATTTTCTGGGGCCTCTAGTCAGATCAAATATTTTACATGAGGTTTCTTTGTGAATCTTCTTTAGTTCAAATGTTTTTTTGTTTCAAGATTTTTCTTTTCCAAGTTGGTCCCTACATTTTGCCCATTTGAAATAATTCTGGGATGTTTTACCCAAAACAAACAAACAAACTAAAGCCCACTAGTTTTATTGTTGTGGAAAGAGATTCAAGTTAGAAGTTGTGAGAAGACACCTGCAAAGGGAGAAAGAAACAAAAGATTAAAACACTGGACTCAGTTTATGAGTCCAGAGGGTGGCCGGTTAAGAATGTTCCTAATGATGTGGGGTTTGAAGCTTCCGCAGTGAGGCTGGCAATGGAAATGTTGTAGTCGTGGCTATTTGCAGGAACAGACATGGAAAATGTAGGTGTTTCCCGTCATCCTGAATTGTTGTATAATAAATCCTTTAAAGTTATATCATGTCATTCAGCTTTAGCTTGCAGGGATTCAGGAAAAGGGCAGTTTTGATTCTCAGTGATGCCCAGACAGGAGAGTAGGAGAAAATCTTAAAATACTAATTACTGACAAAATGTGCAAGATGATCCAGTTTACAATGAAGTAAAAATAAATAAATAAACAAATAGTTCCAAGATAATAAATGGGTCTAGAATCTGATAACTATAGTTTTCCACTGAAATATAAATTTCTCTCTACAGTCAGCCCCATTTCCATTAAAAATAATCAAATTAAGATTATTTTTGTTTACAAAATAAGCTGGTCTCATTAAATTTGGCCTGATCATTGACATAAGGGCAGAAAGATGACTGACTCCTTAGGTGTTTTAAAGTTTGCTTTGCTGAAACTTTTATGAGAAATCTCAGATTGGACTTTTTAAAGGCTTTTATAGCTTGGAAGCCAAGTCAAGAATCTGCATCAGACTTCATCTGCATCAGACTTCATAGAGATTAGGGTGAATTCCCTCCTCTTGAAGATCACGAAATTTTCTGGGCCTGCCGTAAAGTGATATTCATTATGCATCTTTAAGGGTTAGAAATCCTGTAAGCCAGTTACCAAACCAGTTTTTCCAAGACAGCTTTGTAAGTGTTGGCTCCATAAAGTCAACTATAGTTCCTGTATGTCTGGTCATGTCTGTTTCTCTGCACATCATTCTCAAATAAGACATTTCAATCAAAACCTTGTTAGTGAAACTAATTTTCCTAATTATGTCCTGTTACAAGAATAAAACATTTGTATTGAACTTATGTCAAAAACTTTTTGGCAAATTTTCATTTGCCATGAAAATAAGAATATTTAATTTGGGTTTATGAATTCTAGGGAGAACAAGTAGGGAGAATAAAAACAAGTGTTTCATTTTTGTTTAAAAGGTATAATATACTAAATTGTTATGAATTATAAATATGTTAAAAATATGGGTTCCTTATATTCATAAAATGTATTATTAACATAAAAATGATCATTCTTCCTCAGTTCATTCAGACACATGTAATTAATTCTTATTTTACTTAATCTCAGGTTATCAGTTTTACCCACTAGAATTTTAGAAATATTCATTCAGTCCAGTAGTATGAACTCAAAGTTATTTATGTAGTCATCAGAAACCTTCATCCAGAGTACATATTGGAGACCTTTCTGGGGATTTCTGAGATACCCCTTCTCTTCACGATGAGGCATTCTGACTTGCTGCTGCTTGTAACAATTTCTGCAAAACATAAGGATAAAAACAAGTAGCTATCTGTTATGAAAGACTCAAAATAGCTGTGGTTAAAGATTTGATGAGAATTGCTATAAAATTATGCAACTGACAAGGAAATTTGACTGTTTCTGTGACATATATTTTAAGACAATAACCAGAATTATGATTGATATCATTTTTTCAGGACAGTAAGGATATTGAAAAATTCCTGGAAACTTCATAGTCTCTTGAAGTACTTCTAATAGTATTTACCCATGCAAATATAACATAGGGAAAGTTAACTATCTCTTATTTGTTGATAATGTTCGGTGTTCTGACTTTTTAATGCACCTGCAATCATCTGGAGAAGAACAAGGGAGTTTTTGAGATCAGGAAAAAACATAGGTGGGCTTTTTAACTTTTAGAACCATATTTCTTTTGTACATGGTTGATTGTAAGTCAGGGACAGGGTTTTTTTTTTTTTCAAAGAATTGAATGAATGTCAGCCTCAACAATAACATTAAGGACACTGCCTATCCAACTACATGATTTGAAATTTGCTTTTTAAAAATTTTTTCCATTGGAGAGATTTTCAACTAAAATGGGAACCAAAAGATATCTACGTTCTGGGGCTCCTGGAATTACAGTTTGGTGCATTTGGAACATTTTATAAATCATTTGACAGAGGCTTGAGAATGTATTTCTTCCCTCTGAGTACACACTGTTCCACCTTGACCCAATTAACCTTCAAAGGGAAGACTTCTATAATAGCTCTTATCAGGCCCTGAACATTAACCTCCAACTGGGCCATTTGCAGGAAAAAAAGGTGGTAGAAGTGAGCTTATGGTGAGTGTAGATTTTAATTTTTGTTCTAAATCTGATTTTTGTTCTTTAATTTAGTGAAGGGAGTCTTTTAGGCTAGCCATGACCCATTTTTTATGTCCTTCCAATTTGATCCTTCCATATAGGTAATGAGCCATTTGTTTAGGGTAAGAGCTCTCCCAAAATCCTCACAAATATAAAAGCTTTTCCAAATCAAATGATTTGTTATTTGATTATTGACAATTTAAGCTCTCTAAAAGCATCCCTGTTCCAAAATATGATTCAAAATTAATAAAACTTTTTATGGTTTAACCATGGACATAAAGGCATCCCCAAATAGGTGCAGAAGATGCAAAGCCCTGTGATTTGAGGTCATTCCAAAAGATAGTGAAGAGAAAGTAAGCAAAGGCTGCCATTGGCACAGGGAGTAAGAAGGATGCTTGCAAAAACTCTCATCTTCAGGCTCCCACAGAAGTGAAGTGTTCATGACACCTGACAGACAGTACTGAGATGGGACTTCCTACCACTAGTAGGGCAACAGGAAAGAGACCAGAGCTAAAACTGGCTGAGGCCCTTTATTTTAGACTTAGATGAATCCTCCAAGAGCTGGCAATAGTTGGCATGATGCCAGCTGCAAACGAGATGCTCAAGATACTTGCGTTTCTATCCAGTTGACTGCAAATTCTTGAGCCCCCAACCTGACAGTTGGCTGCTTCTGAGCATAGACTTGACAATCTGTCCTCCTCCCCACTCCCTGCATGTAGAAAGCCAGAGAGTGAACACTGTCACTGGAACCAAGCCAAGCTCTCGGAGCACAAAATGAACAGACAGGACACCATGGCTGTCCTTGGGAGAAAAGGAATCTATGGCAAGAGCACTCGAGCCACAAGTCACAATACACCAGTCACAATACACCAAGGACTAGTTCCTACCATGTCTGCTCCTGCTAATCTCAATCTTGAAGGGAAAAGATAAAGAGAAGCCCCTACGACCTTTACTTGACAGGACCCCAGAGATCTGGGATTCTGGTAAGAAATTTGTCAGTTGGGTCAGAGATCTCAGAGGCAGTTTCTGGAGGAGCAGAGTTCCAAACAACCCATTCATTTCACCAAAACCGGGAGAGGAAAATATTTCCTCTTCCAACTTGAGTCCAGTGGTTAGGGCCCCAAGAATTATTTGACAATAGAGAGATGAATAGGAGGAAAGATAGGTTTATTTTATGTATATATGCAGAAATACTCAGTGATGAGGCCTCCCTCGGTACCCTGAGAGAAAAAGGTTTATATAGCAAACTTAACAAAAAGGATAGGGGGCAGTAGCAGATGATTAGGACATCAGTGGGAAGGTACTGAAGCTTCTAATTTTATTTTTATTTTTTTCTTGCTAGTGACAATGGGGGCATTCTGTCTCTCTGGCAGCTGAATTCCAGGAAACTACCAGCATGAGGGTTAATAGCAGCTGTATTTTCTGGGTCTTTGGAAGGTAAGTGAAATTCAGATAAGATTTCTTTCTGTATTCTTCTTTAGCTAACAAGTTTTTACTTAAAATAATCTTTAAATCTACTTCTAGGGGTTTGAATAGATTTCCAAGACCTGAGACATATATGATCATAAGAACTTTTATAAAGGAAAACCTCCTGAATCCTTTCTGTGGCAAGTTTTAAGATACACAGCATTACTATGACATGCTTGAGAGCTTCAGGAAGTTTCAGTGAGGTTCCTGGTGACAGAGACATCGCTGCCTAATACAAACACACTGCGGGGTTATCAATAAGGTCTCTGCTTAGGCTGACATCATCCTGGGCTTCATTCCAACAATGTGAGCTGTGGCTTCTGTGCCCACAGTGAAGGCTGGTGCTTAACTTTATTAAATGCCTCAGATTCAAAGCCTGCTACTTGTCTTCAGAAAATCATTGTGCAATCATCTCCAGAGTTAAGTAATATTATGTTATCCTTTCTTCTTCCTCCTCCTCCTCCTCCTCTTCTTTCTTTTAACCTATCACAAACAGGAAAAATAGTTGTTTATATATATTTCAAGTCGAAACTTGATCTTATAACTGCAAACACTGACTTACAAGGAAATTTTATTTGGGGAAATATTTAAAATATTAACAGTGGAAATTCTAAGTGCTAATTTCAAGATACCATATTCCATAGTTTCTATTTCTTTTTAAATAAAACTAGTGCTATCTGCCAACAAGGAAAAATGTGTGCTCTGTCCATTAGTCTTCCTTACAACTTCAAGAACTTTGGCATTATCAACAGAGGTGAGAACATCTCCTTGAAATATCTGTGGTCTCAAGTCCATAATTCTAATAGCTCATTCACCAAAGTGTAGAAAATATAGAGCAATGGACCTTTTTTCTTAGAACATGGAAAAATCACTTTAAAAAACAGGATGAAATTTCTTAAAAATGGACCACGTGGATGTGGTGCTTGCTAGCCCTCAAGCACACTGAAGATCAAGAGGGATGGAGAATAGGAACATGGCCAGAGTCGTTCAGAGGTGGGGAAACGTCTTCACTGTTCACTGCACTAATTGAGACATTGCTAATTAGTGGTTCAAATGTTGGCTCCCCACAATATTGCCAGAATAACCTGTTGGAACTGGGTGTGCGTTGTAAATGTTCAGTAGCTTTCTTGACTCTACCCTCCAGGTGCCAGCAGCATCTCCAGTCATGACAATAAGAAATATTTCCAGACCTCACCAAGTATTCCCTATAGGACAAAATTGTTCCCAGGTGAGAACCAATTCCTTACAGGTGAGTGATTGAAAATAGTGCTCTGGCAGAGTCTTGATAGGGCCTCCAAGGGGGAAGGGCAAAATTGGAAATATTTTTAAGATTTTGAAGGTTGGCTATTTCAAAGTGTATCTTTTAATGCAGAGGGAGGTCTGATTAGGGTCAGGTGAAGATCATATTATAACAGTTTAGGAATAGTTGGCATAGAAAGATATAACTGCCCTTGTTTGCTTCCCTGTAAACTCTAAGAAGATACTGAATTTATCAGGGAGCCAAAATGTTCTCTCTGCACTCTGGAAGCCTTATGGAGGGAGAAGTAGCTCACCATAAATTCCTCCATCTATGTTCATAACTGAGCTTGCTCTTGGATGACCACTCACATGTGCAGGGTGATTTGGGCTGGACTTTAGAAATGCTATTGCTTGTAAGAGTTGAAGAACCAGAAGAGCACAGTGGCCCTAGCTTGGAGAAGACTAAAACTCCTTTTCTGAAGTTAATCCACTGAATGTTTATTCAATCTATTTTCCATAGGTTGTTTGAAAGATGATACCTTGTTTTCATAGATGTGACCTTGAATCCATTACACTGTGGAGTTCTGCTTCCTTTCCTAATTCTGAAAATGAGCCATATTCTTCAAGTGGGATATTCACTCATACCTTGCCAAGCACCAATCTATGGATTTCCTCACTCCTCATTTGGTCAGATACATTCTGCGAGGGGAAATCTGATACTCAGAGAGGCAAGATTTACAATCTAAACCTATGTCTGTGGAAGCTCCAATGTTGGTGATTTCTCTACGACAGAATATTGTCACCTACTTGTCAATTTCTCAAAACAATAACAAACAGAAAATCCTAAAAAAAACCACATAAAACATCTAGTTGTGGTTGAGCCTGGATTCATACACAATATTTGAACAGATTAACTGTTGCTGTTTTTCTTTGGAAGAGGGGTGCACAGGGCAAACAATAGACAATTACAAGGGGATATGTCTAATTTGACCATAGGCCAACTGAAATACTCAGACAACTTCTAAGTACCACACTGCCAGTCCAATAGTTTTGCCTAACCCTAAAAATAAGTGAAGTAGACCAAATCCATTGGTTGATAACTGATATTAAAGAAAATGGAAGGGGGAAAAAAAACAAAAAACAAAAACAGAAAAACCCCAACACACCATCCTATTTTCCAATGCAATTTGAGGGCTACAATACTTTGGTAATTAAGTATTTAGACAGTGAAGTTTGTCAACAAAATGGTAGTGGGTCAGCAGACTTTCATTGGATAACACTGTAGATGAGAGTGACACTGGAATTAAAGGCCTCTTGGAAAAGGGAGTTGAAGAGTACCTTTTCTACGATGGTATCCTTTTAATGGAGATTGTGGTGTATTATGTTCAGGGTAGTAGATTCATAAATGGACAGCTAAATGTGATTTAATTTGCAGAACTTTGTAAGACTGTTTTTAACATGAATCAGAATTCTTAACTGTTTCAGCTTTGTCCAGTGATAGCTGTGTGGTGCTGAGCAAGTCACCTGGTCTCTCTGGGACTCCATTTTCTCCTCTATAAAAAAAGGGGATTTGGATTATATGATTCTTAAGGTCCCTTTCTGCTCTTGAGTCAAATCAACTCAAAGACATGTTATTAACTGACTAGTGCCCTCTATAGGCAACTTCCTCTGCAATGTGAAATCCATAAAGGGAATGTTAGCAAGATTTTCTTGTTATATTTAATGTTATGGCTTAGTGTCCAACATAATATTTTGTTATTTAATGAGATACTCTGTAAAGCAATTAAAATTTTAGATGTCACCTAGGTCTCATTTTACAGATATAGAAGAGGAGGACCACTTTGGCCATGAACATTTACAGATATAGAAGAGGATGACCACTTTGGCCATGAACATTTGGGATAAGGCCAGGACTTGGATGCAAATCTCTTGATATTCAGGTCAGTAGTACCCAATAGTGACCTTTTCAAACTTTCAAGATTATCTGCAAAATACCCTTCCTTCCCCTTCTGAGATAGCACTGGAACTCAGCATTTTCTAAAATTTCTATACACTTCTTATCCTTAACAGTTGATGAACTGTGGGTTTTTCCATTCGAGTGGGAAATGGTTGCCTCTGCATTGCATAATAATTATGTATGCCTCTCACTGTAAAAGGTTGCTTTCTTGCAACCTTTACTGTTACTGATGGGGAGGTCCTTTACTGACATTGCAGGTGGAAAATGTATGCATGCTCAATAGCTGATTGATTCACTTTCAGTTCAAGAACTGCAAACATTTTTAATCCTTCATGCTGAGATCCACTCAGAAGTTGGGACACGCTATTCATTTCCAAGGTGGAGGACATAGAAAAACTTGTCATGGACAGCCTTCAGTATAAATCTGCATCTGTTGAAAACTTTAAATTAAAAAAAATCATATTTTAATTTTTTAATACACAATAGCATGTATGCTTTTTAGAAAGCCGTGAATTCATATAAGGAAAAATTTAAACATGATAGCACCACATTCTTATCATCCATAGATTACCACTGTTAACACCTGTGTCTATGTCCTTAAGGCTTTTTCTATGCATATATAAATACACATATGCATATTTTTGCCAAAATGAGATCATGTTGTACATGCTGTTTGTAACCTGCTTTTTTTAGTTAATGATCTCTATCTTTTCTTGCCAATAACTTTTTATCTTATCTAAAACCCAGTCTAGATTCAAATTTACCCTGCTTGTCCTCTTTACAGTTGGTTTATCCAACTTACTCAAATGTAGGGCCCTGGGTTGCATCTAGTTATGATGTTCTTAAAGCTCTTTAATCTAGCATGGTCTCCTCCTTCCCTTTATTATTTTTTTCAAAACTTTTTTGTTGGGGAAAAAAAACAGGGAAGGTTGAGGTTTACTTCATATATTTTGTTTTTTTGTTTTTTATTTCAGATTTTATTCTTCACATGGACCAGATTTTTAAAACATTGCCCAGCTTTCTGGTTTATGTTCATCTATAGGAGATACTGCCTTAATGGTATGACAGATGGTCAGCTGCTCAAATGTGAAGATTTAGTCTAAAACGAAATCTGTAAACCTGCTCAGAAGCCTGGAAAACATCTCCATTTTTCTTTAAGTTTCCCCTCCAACTGTCTCTCCATCGAAGAACAAAGGAAAATCAGTTGGAACCGACATCAGGTCCTGTGAAAAGCTGCCGTGGTCCCTGTCCTCATGCACCATGTAGTCTAGTGGGGAGTTGGACCTTGAGTTAATCACTAACAGGAAATGCTTAAGTAAATAATGACAAAGGCAAGTGCTAAGAAGAAAAGTATGGAGTCCAAGCTGACCAGGCATGCAAGGTGGCTCAAGGGAAAAAAAGGACAAGGTCTGGCAAATGAGAGGAATTAAGTAAATTAAGTTATTTATGGAGAAAGAAGGGGAAGACTGTCTTACACAGTGGGGATAGCATTTGCAAAGGGACTGAGGTTGAGGACTGATTTTTACTATGGCTGGGATAAAATGAATCAAGGGGAGGGGCAATGGGTGAAATGAACTGAGATGAAACAGGGATGAAGGCACAGGCCAGCTCACAGCTCAGGTTGTGTGAACAATTTTGGACTTGATCATTCAGAAGGGGGAGCAATGAAGAGCCTTAAGTAGAAGACAAACATGAAGAAATTTATGTTTCATTAAGATCCTGCTGACTATCGGGTAAAAAGTGTGTTGAAGAGTTAGGAATGGAGACAAGGAATCATTTAAAATGCCACTGTGGCTGTCCAGCTGAGATTTGGTAGCTTACCTTGATGGGTAATTGGAATGGATTGAAGAGGAGTGATTTTAGAGATATTTAGCTAATTAGGAAGTGGAACCCAAAAGATTGGGGACTGACTAAATGGGCAGGGGAGAGGGAGAGGTGAAAGAAGAGGTGCTAAAGAGGACAGACATTAAGACAGTTTCTGTAAAGCGATTGCAGCCCAATTCAAGCTGACTTGCGCCTCAATAAAAATTTATTAATAAATACTAGAAAAGTCTGGGGATAGATCAGATGCTTCAGATATTGCTGGACCCAGGAGTTCAGATGATGTCTTTAGAAGTAGCTCTCTCCTATCTTTTTTATCTGCAGTTTTGGCTTCACCCTTTTGACAAAGCTTTCTTTATGGTGACAGGATCATTGCTGATGACTCCAGGTTTATATCCTCATAGGGCAGCAACTCTAGAAGAAGGGAATTTTTCAATATTTTCAGCAACTATTCTAGAATGAAGCATCTTGGCTAGACCTAGGTAATATGTTTACCCCTGGAGCTTGAGGGTAGAATCAATTCCACCTACAGCAAATACACATAAAGTGGAGAAGGGAATTTGAAGAGCTATTACCATTACAATGGTGAATGGATGGCAGGTAGGCAGGAATGACAGTACTTATTACACAGAACTCCTCCAATTTTTATGGTCTCAACTGTGTGGATAAGGAGATTTTACCCATGAGGAAGAGTATAGTATTGAGGGGAAATATCACAAGTTCAGAGGCTTTTCTGAGGCTTATTAGACTTTTTCATTGGGATACAGAGTAAGCAGATGGATACATGGATCTGATGCTCGGTAGAAAGTTCTTAGCAGTAGTTCAAATCTTGGGAGATATCAGTGTACAGGATACTGATAAGATCATCTGAGGAGTGTGTCGAATGTGAAGAGGAAATTTAATAGCTGGGGTAAAGGAAGAGGAGAAGGCTGTAGAACACAATATAAAAGAAGGTCTAGTCTGTTAGTTAGAAGGAAACCTTGTGGTAATGATGCCATGAAAGTCCAGACTCTTTCCTGAAAGTAAGGATGGAATGGCTTACTGTGTGCCATGCCTCTGAGAGAGAAAATCAGATGACGATGTGTACCTTGAACAGGGAAACATGGTGATGCTTGGTGACCTTAGTCACTGGGACAGGTTTAGGTAGAGCAAAGAAGAAGAAGGCACAATTAGTATGGGGTTAAAGAATGAATAAGAATTGAAATGATAGCAAAATTTAGAAATTTTCCACAAAGGAGTACAGATTGACAAAACAATGTCTGGAACAGGAAATGGTCTAAGGAAAGTTTTTGTTGTTGCTGTTGTTGATTTAATTTTTTTTTGTAAAGCAACTTGAATATATTAAAAAGAAAGTTGGAAATGCCCAAGATAAAAGACTGCAGAAGATGGGATTCAAGGCACAGGTTAATGGAGAAAACTTGGTATAGAGAAGGACCAACTGCTTCAATGCAATTGAAAGGGAAAAGGATGAGTACTGCTACAGGAAAGTGTGTGGGTCTAGTGACCAGAAGTTGCAGTCATTCTCTGATAATGGTGTCCATTACAAAGTTACATTATCTCCTTAGAGTGAATTTGAGGAGAGTTGAGAGATTTGAGGAGAGTTGAGAGACTTAAAACAATGTGCAGAAAAATGATCTCAAGCTAGAACATGATCTATAAGCAATGCCTATGACTGGGAGGCCAAGTTGGCCTGATCTGACCAGTTGGCTATTTCCTATGATAGAGCTCAATAGCCTCTGTATGGAACCTGAGAAGATGGATGGCTGGTCCTCTGGATATGATGGAAGAGCAAAATTTGACCTAGGAATTGATGGAGTAAAACCCTACCATAACATTTCACATGGGGCTGTGGGCAAAAATTCAACTACAAAAAAATGGAGAACATTTTTATGGTTAGCTTAGTGAAATGAGAATGGGCACTGGTAAAGGATAGGAGCCAACCCACCAAATACTGTCATTAAATTCATTAAATTTACATTACCACAGGAAGTTCTCATGGGCTTTTACTGAGTTTCCAGGAGAATGATTGAAAAGATGAACACTAGAATCTTTGTTGGGTAGGGAAGAAGGGTGGAAAGGTGGATACCGGAAACAAGGAGAAGGAAATTGACAATAGAAGGTCCTAAAGAGGTGAGAGAATACATGTGAAAAACATATTGTCCATAAGTGGCACAGTCAGGCTTAGAAGGAAGAGGAGGCCATGATCCATGGAATAAAAATAACTGAGGCATTAGAAGGCCCAGGTTCTGGTACAAGCTTACTAACCATGGTGGTCTGGCTGCTTGCTTCATTGTCCTCATTTAAAATTGAGAATAATGCTATCTTTCCCACTCATCTTACTGAGCTGTTGCCAGCAATTAGCTGAAGTACTGTGGATATGAGCTATATTAGAAAACAGACCCAGAGGTCTCTTTTTCTATTGTGGCAGAGGGTGGGGATGTGTTTGGAAAGGGAGGTGGTGATCAATGACTTACCATGGCACAGTGCTGGCCTCCCATGTGTGCTGTGCTTATATTAGGAAACCAAAAACAGACTCTAAAAATACAAAGACTTTTGTGATCTGGAGCAATACCCCAAACAAAGGCCCAAAGTGTTGTTTAGAGCTCATCCCCAACAACTGGAAGTTTCCAAATAGATCTTTGCATCACTCTCACCCAGGAAGAGTAGCCACCTAAGGGGTCTGGACAGAATTCCAAGACATACTCTGCCTTTCACTGCTGCTGTTTTAAAACAAGCTATTCCTCAGTGGTGCTGAGTTCTGTTTTAAGTTTTAATTGTTTGTTTTTATTCCATAACAATGAAATCTTCCTGGATCATTCAAACAAATTAAACAGCATATCAGGAACACATCTGGGGTCTTGATGCTGCTTCAGAATATCTCTGAAGGAGTCACTTTGTCTCTCCCCAGGAAGAACACTGTATTTTTTTTAACCCTTTACCCTATTTTTCTTCTTTGTTTTCCTTTTTTAAAAAATTAATCCTCTACTCTGAAAAGAAAATACTTCTTTTCCTCTTGTTGTCCCTTTTTTAGTAAATGGCACCACCATCAACCTAGTTGTCTTTTCCAGATATCTAATTCTTTGACAGAACCAGCTGACTTTACTTTCAAGAGAAATCCACTTTGTACTATCTTGAGAGCCATCACCATGGTCTAGTATCCACCATTTCTTGCATGCACAACCACAATGACCTCTTACTTCATTTCCCTGCTTTTACACTTTCCTTCCTATAGTTTATTCACCCCCAGGTCATTATTTAGAGTCATCTTCTTAAAAACATGTCAGCAAGATGGTGAAGTAGAAGGAGGTATTTCCTACTTGTTTTGCTGTTTGGAATTTGAAGGGTAGAAATATGGCTTCATAACAAGGTGTCTAAAGAAATTCATTATATGTCATTATTTGTCTGTCACAGAGTCAAAGAAGCACAGAAATACTGGTGGAGTGAATGGAGGCTATAAGAAAATACATATGAGTCAGGCAGGGACAGTGATGTTTTGTCACCACAAAATAATGAGCAACATAAAGATAAAGAAAGAAACAGAACAAATTTGGCACACAAAATGGGCTCCATGTTTCTCGACTTCAAAGTGAAAAACAGAGGTGGAGATAGTCACCTTGAGGAGTTTATACTGAATCATGTTCCTATGGGAACCTGAAAGTCCTTACAAATGTTTCCACTCTTCCTCAACCAGTGCTTACTGCCTAACCTGAAGCACACCCCAAAAAATCATGATCCCAAAACAGTTATCAAGAAGGTACAAGGACTTACTTGATCTGAAGTGCATACCCTAAACAAAGATGCAAAGTTTAGAACTCATCCCCAACAACTGGAATATCATCCCCAGATAGACGGATGGAAAAAAAGGACAATCTGCTCTCCCTTTGAGCCCTGCCTCATATGGAAGATCGGCAGAAAAGGATCGGGGAAATTGTCCAGGCAGGCATGATTACACTGGGAACAGGAGAGCAACTTGATTTCCTTTGAGTTCTGTGAATGACTGGCTCAGAGCGATCAAGGAGACCCATCAGCTAAATGTGTTTACATTCAGGGACAGAGACTTAAAAATTCATATTTGGGTGGTTGGTGGGATACAGGAAACCTGCTATACACCATCCACCCAGGGTAGTCTCTGATCCCACCATATGAGTAGAACTCTGGGGAGACACTAGAAACCCAGACACCCAATCATGATTGACAACTACTCAGCCCTAAGCTTGTAAGGACTAAACTGCTCTGGAGGACATAACCCCCATGAGGTAAAAAAAGTTTTGTTTAGAAATTATCCCCAGCTCTTTGAACATAAAGGGATGCTGTACTTTGTCGAATGCTTTCTCTGCGTCTATTGAGATGATCATATGGTTCTTATCTTTAAGTCTGTTGATGTGGTGAATAACATTTATTGATTTCCGTATATTGAACCAGCCTTGCATACCAGGGATGAATCCTACTTGATCATGGTGCACAATTTTTTTGA